AGATGACCATATGCCTACAGCCGACAGTCAGGCAAGCGACGTGAGGAGGGATCGACGAGCGACGCGATCAATCGAGTTCCACTCTGACACCTCGTCGTTAATCATAACTGTGCTATCATCAGAGATTTCTGCCCATGCTTGCTTTCTCTGAATATTATTACGTCTCCATGCAGAATGACAACAATTAAGCAGTTGCCGATGACGAATGGGCATGAATGCTTCTGCTTCGTAGAGGTTTTTCGAAGATTTCAAGTCCATCGCTCATTGAAATTGGAAGGTTACTCTTCAAGCTGTTCTCTCCGAGAAACAAATGTTTCTTTGGGTCTCATTTTCGCTGATGAAATTGCGCTCGATGGCCCTTCGTGGAATCGGAATATCTGCGAGTATCAAACCACATATCTCCCTCTTCCCATTACGAAGCAACTTTCTTCTATTCTTACTTTTATGGATACTATTCGTACAATCTGTCCAAATGTCAGAGGAATGATCTATATAGAATGAATAATCACGTTAACCATTACCCTGTTTTCATAAATTATCGACTGATTTTGAGAGACTAATAAACTGCCTGAAAACCACTAGCAAATACAGTGTATGAAAACACTATACATTTTCAGCATTGCTCTGTACTACTCTGCGGCTGAAAAGGTACTTTCATTTATCAAAACAAAACCAACTCCATTCGGACTCCCAAATCATACGAAAAATTCCAGCAAAGTGAAAGTCATTGGAAACGATTGAGCAGTGCATCTGTGGCGCCTACGGAGAGGAGTCATTTGACTGAAAGACGGATGGGCGTTCTAGTCAACAAGGAAACAAAGCGCTTTATCCGGTGAACTATTTTGTAAAATCTATTTTGAACCGACAATAATCATATACTTGGGAATGACCTTAGTGAAATTAAATGATTCTGAAATGTACCTGTTTTTGAAGGCAATATTGAATGGAACCATAAACGCAGTGTAGAACGTTAAAGCAAGTATCGACCAGTCCCAGATTGTTTTGAACGTCGAATAGTGAAGAATGATATGCGGTGAAGTCTTCGGTGTTTCTTGCCGGTACTGTGGCAACATATCGCCGCCGAGATTCATCACCTAAACTCCGTTCTACTTTCTTATCAACAATGGCAAAAGCATTGGACCCTGTCGATAAGATATTTCCGCATCTCACGGCTGAGGAGCGCATACTGTAAGAAGAGTATTCAATGCAGTTCCAGTATCGGTTCTGACGTTTACAAGCTGCTTATTGATTTTTGGACACAATTTAGAAAAAGAATTTAGATTCTGGTTTCGCGGAACCAATGCTGGTCTCGACATATACGCGACCTGAGAGGAACCCATGACCTTTTTGGAATTATTCGGAAGATAACAAAATAAGAAGCAGCTTTGAAAACGTCTGATCAACCTCTACGGACCGAATTTACTATACTGTATGGTATGCTCTACGCAACAGCGAAATATGGAAATTAGGCTGTATATCGGATCACGGATCAGGGCTTTGCAGCAACAGATCTGTTCACTTCAATACCTCAGTTGAATTTAGAAGGTAGAACAGGAGAAATGGCAGTGGAGAAGGCTTATAGAGCCATGTGCCGAAAACTACGGCTCAGTGCTGACGGCTGTGCAGAGAAAAGTGCTTTACTAATATAAGGCAGACAGTTGTGGGTGGTGGTCGAAAGGTGGGTGGCATTCATCAACAGTTAGAGATGATTTTAATGTGCACAAAGTTTGCTGGAAGATTTTTCATTAAGAGTTGTATCGAGAAAAATTCTTATCATACGAAGTGCACTTTAGCGGCGACGATGGTGTGTGAATGTGTGTAGGGAAGATTTTGGTGGTTTACTTTCACAACAGACTCAAAAGAAATCACAGAAAACGTTTAAGAAAACAGAAGGGAAACAGCATTAGTAATGGCCTTCCTGCAAATAATCGGGGGTGCGTGAATTTTGTAATTCCCATTTGACTATTTTGTATTTTACCATGCTGCGATCATACTCGCCAGCGTATGGGGTAACGCGGATACTCCAGTGTTCAGCATCGTTATATACTATTTGGTTGGCAAGAACGTTCTGCGACAAAAAATTCGAGTGTTAAAATCCTGTGTGAACTTTGTGAGCACGGTGAGCGAGGATGATTAACTACCAAGACGTTTCTTCGACAGTCAAAACATGAGTGAAAAAGGCAAGCACATAGGCTTCCGCAGCATTATCGCCAATGAATGGAGGACACCCAATTTGCACCACCACCTTCTACTAGGCTTGCAGGGAAATGCGGACTTAGTGGCTCAAATTATCAGTAACGTTTTGGATGCTAGCACTGATCACCGCCAACGGCGTACTATAGCTGGATCGCTTCACTGGAAGAGAGACGCTAGCTTTTAGAGTAACGCAAGCATCGTACCATAGTTTCCTGCGGTGGGAAAGGACCCGTCCACTATGGGACTATATGGATAATTACAGCTGTCCCTTACCCCTGTAAACCACAGCGTATGGCCATGCGATATGAAAAAACGTCCAAAACCTTATTCTTAGTCAGTATACAAGGACAGCGCACGCCAAAATTTCGTGTAGACTTCAGCCGAAACTTTAGCGGTCTTGCTTTGCTTCAGGTTCCAGGTTGTTCACCAGTCGTACACACGGAACGTTGTCCCTTTTTACTAATATGTGCTCAGCCTTATCAGGAGTCTCTTTGTGGGAAAAAGTTCGGAAATTAGCTTGATCTGAAAACAGCATTCAATGATTTCTCTTAGTCACAGCTTTTTGACCTCTGTACCCTGAGTAAGGGAGTGAAGGGGATCACGTTACATCATTTATATATTTCTGAAATTCAGCTTTATGTGTAAGTTCCCAAAAAGCGCCGCCAAATTGGCCTAAACTTTTCAGTTTTTCTTTAGTTCACCTTGGATCATACACGTGCTTATATATGGTAAAAAAAATACTTGCAACAAAAAAAGGCAAATGGACTTGTCAGAGTGTCTAAAGTCTGAATACCATATTTTTAAATTTTTTAGATAACTTTATAATTTTGAAAACTTGTAGGTCAGACGTGTGGTTTCTTTTTTCTCTTTTTCGAAAAACCTGCGTTAGGCTTAGTTTCCATGGTAATCCAAACCAACTGTACCTACCCGCAGGTTCTTGACAAGGAGAAAGTAAGACAAATCTAGATTTTGTGACATAAAGATTCTAAACGCCTTAGCAGTCACCTGTACTATTTGCCATGCCAATAGACGAATAGGACTGCGAGAAGCCGCCACATTCACGTTTACCTTCATCCCTATAGCGTGTGGCAAGGAACTAATGAACACTTCTATGTAGATTGCATGGCCCGAATGCTTGATACCATGGTAGTTTTTCTGACGAGCTCCCTGGAGACAAGCTCGGGTCGTACGCAGTTTTCTGTCGAATCAATAAGCCTTGGCCTAACCAGGTCTGAAGATGAATTAGTGCAATCTGAGCCTGCCGAGAATCAAAGGATACTATTAAGCAGACCAGCCCGCTGCCTTATCTCCCCAATTGGATGGTCAATGTACCTGCGTGGGCGGAGTATTATGAAGTGAATCGTAGGCAGTTAAACATCCGGGTGAACTATTAGAGTTATTCCGTCTACATCCAATCAACGCGCAGGATCGATGTTTGGATTTCGCCATTGTCTGGTAATAGAAATAGTCTCTTATAAGGACCACTACCCGTGAGAAGGAGCTTAAATGAAAACAGAGAATAGTATAGATGCTGTACAGTTCGAGCACGAACAAATCTAAACTCACTATGCGGCCGTTGGCCTCGTAACACTAAAAACAAACGATTGTTAGTGAACTTTGTGAAAAGCAATCTCTATGGGCTAGTTGTATGTTACTTATTCCAGCGGTATCTGATCGACTCGTAAGGAAATCGCAGCAGAACCGCCAACAACACGATATTAGATGTGTTCACGCACATGATAAAGATTTTCTATGTGCACTACGTGAGCAGAAATTGTTTCTGTACTTCTAGTACGTTCAGTGAAAATGTGCTGCTAGTAGGATATCTCTCACAGAACAAAGAAGAATCGAGAAGAATCACAAAATCGATTGAAATCATTGACATTTCATGAACTATGAGAGCTCCAAGCTCACCTGGGTGAAGTTGGACGAAGCGGACGTCGTTGTTTTATGCAGATCTTTGGTCTCGATCTGATTGAATTGCTGTTTGGATTTTGCAATCCGTGCAATTTGAAGAATTCGAGACAAACCTGCAGTATATAGGTTTTGAACTTACGAAAATGGCAAAAAGAAATAAAAAATGTTAGGGCATGAACTGCCCGCCCTATTTCTGATATTATTTGCTATCTTCGCTTATGCTTGGGTCGAAGTCTGACTTTTCAAAAATTCAAGCCCATTAAGGTCCCCGAAGGTTCACATTTTCGTGGTCATTTTGTAAACGGTACTAATTCTTATAGCGACAGCCAAAATTCCAATAAAACGATGGCTTACACTATTTCGAATCATCGTGCAGGTAATGTAGCGCTCTGTCGAAGTTTGGAAGGTAGAGCTAAGGGAAAAGTTAAGGTATTTCCGCTCATACGTCTATATATCGATTAGGAAGGAGTTTGCGTTTTCCCAAACCCGGGATTGGACCACGTGATTCTTTGGAAGCCTCTGCATTCTAATTCTTACACTGTAAAAACCACGGCTCAAGTACGCGCGCGGCTGCGACGCGACGCGACAGAAGGTGTAACGGTTTAAGACCAGGCGTTCAGTACCCGTGCGATTGCACAAGTCCTATCTGGCCCTTTGCCGATGAAAATTGTACATAGCGAATAAGAAAATGTGGCTGTTTCAAAAACAGTGATGCAATGGTAGTCTCACATACCTTTGTTATTCTCGTCGTCCAACGGTTGTTTGAGAGGAGTGATATCTTTGAATTGGCAAAGATATAGAACCACCGAGTCTTTGTCATTTTTGATTGGGGCCAAATGTACCAGCAGCCAGATGGGCGTCTCTAAAACCACTTCAATTCTGAAACTATCTTGCGTCTACAAGTAAACTGATTCCTGAATTACTTCACACAAAAGTAGAAGGAGAGAAAAAAGCATTACTCATGTACTTATAATTATTACATGATTGGCTTCGAGTTAGTGGAAGGGGAGTTGAAAAAAGGTGTGCTTGATGGGTGGGGTGTTGAAAAATCAAGCAGTCCAATCATGTACAGCGGGTGTCATTACTCCTGTCTTGTTGAGAACCATAAGCTGACCAACATCCATTTCACCGTCAAAAGATGTATGAAACTTACTAGGGAAGGAAGTACATTTGGGAGCTGATTCCGAATTTGCGCTTCAAATTTACCAAACGATTCTTTCAACAAAGTAATTCAAGTGGGCACTTAACATAAACGAACACAAAAATATAGACGTAGCTGCGCTCACTGCGGTGGCTGAAACAGCGGTTATCGTGACGCTGCTTACGAATGAGACCGTAGTTCGTGAGGACNTCCATTTCACCGTCAAAAGATGTATGAAACTTACTAGGGAAGGAAGTACATTTGGGAGCTGATTCCGAATTTGCGTTTCAAAACCAAACGATTCTTTCATCAAAGTGTTTCAAGAGGGCACTTAACATAAACGAACACAAAAATATAGACGTAGTTGCGCTCACTGTGGTGGCTGAAACAACGGTTATCGTGACGCTGCTTACGAATGAGACCGTAGTTCGTGAGGACAGTATTTTTTGCGAGACTTTTTGCTCGAGGAGGAGAAACCTTTTGTATCTTGGCTTCACCGTATTCAGCAACCTTTTTAATGCATGAAATGATTCGGTTCCCATCCAAGCAAGATGATATGACTGCAATATCGCCACAATATGTCACCTTCCAGATAAATGTCTGGAACAGACATTCTGTACCTGCTATTCAGACACCTCTTCAGTACCATACGAACGACCATCTAGATGTACTTGATGTTTCTTTTTCATCATCGGATTCCCAAAGTGGATCAACATCTTCTATATCAATCACGAAGACTTCCTCGCAATCAGTATCGAGTTTTGCGTAGGAGGCGTTTTTCGAGTTGGAGAAGAAACTGCTTATTATCTCCGTTCTTTACTAGTTGGAGCACGTTCACCATGACGAGGACCGGAGTTCTTCAACAGCTGCGACACTACCAACTTTGGACAGAACATACTTTTTGTTCTTTGGCGTCTCATCTTCCCATGCATGCTTCACTTCACCACGTTTGCCAAGTGGCGAGCCTTGACATTTTACCCGATCGATGGTGTTGCAGAGGCGGAGACGGTTCAGTTTATGACCGAATCACCACAACCATCAAAAGGGTTGTTAAAGGTAGTTTCACAAATCAAATAAACAAAGTTTCCCTTGCCTCCGAAGCCCCGCAAAGAGCAAAAACCCCTTCACCTTCATAGGTTCGTCCAAAGTGGTCGCAGATCAACTTGAAGACAAAATCAAATCTTGTGAACAGTATGAAACCTCTACAACTCCCTTGGCCTCAAGATATAGAGTAGTATATATAACAAATATAATATATGTAAGGCATAAAATGCTGATAGTTCCAGAATTGGCAAGGAACGTACTGTTCTTTTTACAGAGCCCGATTTCGGCCTGATCAGTTCGACCATTGTCGAGGGCTTCTTGAATCCGAACGAAATTCGATGCTTCACCATGTTCGCCGTGCAAAAATGCCAATCTGGAAATTCATATTGATCCAGGTGTTTGCTTCAATTTGCTCTGAAGAAGAAAACCTGTTCAGGCAAACTAATAAATCACTTGAAGTAACTGAGCGGCATCAGACATAAAAACCTATTTTTGTGGGAGAACTATCTTTGACCCGCATTCAGATTCAAAAGAAGACAACGACGTGATAAGTTCTCCTGAGTAGCCGCTTCAGAAGCAAGTCATAAGCAACAACCAACAGATACCATGAAAAATTCTGTAGACACCGCCCACTCACTAAATGGGTACATATATGTATATCGTCAAATCAGTTGAATTTTCAGAAGAATCTTGGGAAAGTCGTTGAATCTTTACATGACGGCTGAAGGCTAATAATTCGTTGTTCATTGAGCTTATAGGTTCTTATAGGCTTCTCCATAGGTATATATTAATTGCTAGCCTCATAAGTGTTCATGGAGATTCGCACCCATTGTCCGACTATTGCTCATATGTATAGCGAAATAATTAGATTTCTCCAAGCTCGACTACTAAAAAGATAAGTTGAACAAAAGAGAGGCTTCAATACGAGCTGTCTGCGTTGTTAACGTATGAAGGGTTTCAAAGATTCAAAACGGAAAACCATTCCATACCCTTCTTACTATGATCGTCCGTCAAGATACATAAATAAAAAAGATTAGTGAACTCTTAAACGATTGGTCCAATGAGTTTATATGATGTAATTGCTGTTAGCATGGAGAACTTTCATTCATTCATTCCTGAACATATACTAAAGATGGAGATGTCATAAGGTCAACTAGGAGAACGTCCGTTGCGCGTGTCCGTCGAAAGTAGGTCACCCCGCCCACTTCGCGCGCGGCGCATCACACTGAGGTCTCGAGATGACATTACAGTACCACCAAGTGTCATTGGAGCAAATGATTTGCATTTGTCTATGTTATCTTCTTCTTGAACTGACTGCCGTGGACCAAACGCAAAGCGTATGCCCCAGTGACAATTGCGACGTCTGTCAAATATCGCGGCCGACTCGCCGCGTGCGACGGCTGCGGCGAGACCTAGTTTCGACGGACACGCGCAACGAAGCGCACCCTGTCAACTATGCACTACCACGAGACGATATGAAGACCGATAGTGATCGATACTCGCCAAGCTAACCAAGTGCCCCGATGAGGTTGCATTTCCCTCAAACAGCACTACAACCTTGAATGATAGCCAAATAAGTATGCACATCCCAACTGGGATTGATTAACGCTGAAAACTTTTATTCTGTTAAGAAGAAGGCTTCTGGATACTTATATTTTCGAAAAATAGTCATGTTGTTCGCACTGTTACTTTTCAGAAACCCTGAGAGGATGGCTGCTTTGTTGAGTTTCAATCAAATCTTGGAAAATTATAGTAGTGACTTACGAGCAAGGCTTTTGCATGATTTCCGCCCGTGAATAGCCAACAAGTTTTGAGAAACCGTCATTACAGTAGACAATCGGATAGTCGACCACTTGTGCATTGGCGAGAATGAATGACGTGTCTGAAAATGAATAAATAGAAATCGAAATGTAGACGCTAGCTCTATTTTGACAGAAGTTACCGCTTCGACTAGCCACGAAACCTGGAAAACGCGAAAGGTCTTCACACGATTGCTAGTTACGGTAGCGCGAGTGGGTGACCCGTTCTGGCGACATACGCAGTGCGACATTCAGAGTGATGTACCGTATGGTTCATCATGGAATCGTCTTATCTAGTTGGTAAGCTCGGGTTCGCTACTAAATATTGTCTAGTTTTCCTTCATGCTGTGGCTCAAGTAATCCTACCCTGGAATCCCTGAGAGTTGTGAGGTTATTCGAAGTAGCTCCTATCTTGACTACCTTTATGGCCCCTGTTGGGAAACTTTATTAGGAACTGGTGTGCCGAGATTTTCCAATCAGAATACTTTTCTTGACTAATCCCACGTATATGGGAAAAGGTCGTCATGATCGATGGCTATTCCCACCCTCTCCCTTTGCAAAATTTGATTTGGCTACCATAACATGAAATATAATATTATATTATGCATTTATCGATAACTGCTTGGCAACAAAAGCAATCAGCATATCTACTTACTACTGAGTGAATTCAACTTACAATTAGTCGACCCTCTTTCCTGCTTGATTCTATGGTGGAGTCGGGGAAGGGTTGATCCCGAAGCTTAATACTTTCCATACACATATGATGTTGATCGGTATGGGCACAAAGCAGCCAGAGGACCAAGGCACAGAGGATTTAGACTAAGGGCAGGATACCCAATTTGGTATCCAGGTTACCAAGTAAATCTCGATAGAGATGATCATCTCAAAAACGTCCGCGTGGTTAATCCCAGATTTTGAAGAGACCTGAGCCAGCCTCGATTTATCTTCTTCAGGACTGCAATCGACTAAGTGAATGGCAATCAGCCTTAATGATTGGCGCCCAAAGAAGAACGGAAAGGATCAACATAGAGGTTCACTGAATTTAAGTGGATCTATTTTCATCCTCCATCATCTGATAATCTTAAAGTGGAGGATAGCTTAGTGGCGGTGAAGACCCATAGATTCCATATTTAGCTAAATGCCATTCGAAACAGCGGTGTTAGTAGCGGCGAAACGTTCTCCGGCGCTTCTTCTTGGGAACTTCCTAGGTTCAGCCGGCGTGGACATGTGGTATGCTCCCTGACTTCAGGTAGCGTCTTCGATGCGCCTCTAAAGAGTCACTTGAGCTGTCGGTATACCTGAGGTTAATATTTTAAGAAGTTTCTATTACCCAATGTAGGAGGCAGCAACCGGTCATTTTGGCTGCCGTAGGGGGTAGAACATTATCAAGTCGAGCAAGGGAGCAGGGATCGAGTGGATCTTAATCGCACCTTTCTAGGTTATGCTCCAGTAGGCGCAAAAAATAGGTAGCACCAGAAATTTCCATGACCACCTACTGCTTCTATAGCTCCCAGGACCCCTCCAACTACTCCTTACTTCTCTGCCCTGGCTTCCTCACGCTATTTACTTATTTATTTGCATGTGCAGACTTCAAGAGTGTGGCATCAAAGCAAGAACACCTTCAACACAAAAATCTACTTTAATCAACTGAAGATGGGAATGTTTGATGCTACAAGGGGTATGGTGGTGGTTTTAGCAGGAAAGTATGTGATTCGCGTAATCGACAGCTGATTTGCGTCATGTTTCTGACCTTTCCCAATCCCTCGTTTTTCTGTTAATTTTTGCTTCGTCTAGCACTAACGTCATTAACGATTCGTTCATCCGTAGCTACGCATAGCAACACTAAGCTTCCTTTGTGTTAGTTCGGAATTCTTCGCCTCATTCTGGTCATTTTGCCACTTCAACTTTACATACTTCAAGGATAAACTGCGTGGAATCCTCAAAAAAATACAATCAAACGCCATTGGCATTGAATTTATAGAGATTGAGGGATTGGGGTAGATTCCTGGGAGAGTTAGGGAGGGTATGGGTTGTCTGCATGGTTTGGAAGGGAAGAAAAAGACAAATGCTTCAGCCGATGCCTATCAATGTCCAAAAGTCCCCAAACGGAAATTTAGGGCAGATCAATTTTCTTCGCTTTATTAATAGCCTGCTTGTTATTCTGCAATCTGCACACAGCCATATGTACATGTCTGGCATGGCGTCACAAAGGCTGTACTCAAGCTAGAATTAGGGCAATTCACTGAGGGCTACATTGTTGTGTTTAAATTACCTTACCTGTGAATTTCCTTTACCCATTGGTGAGCGTCAACAAAAAGGTAAACGAAATTCTGACAGCATTTAGTTGAAATCAGATAAAAATTCTACATGGGCGGAAATTTGTAGCTAGGATCAAAGAAAAATGTGCAGAAATATCAAAAAATGTGAATAAAATTAACCCACTCAATCTTCCGAACCCGATATGAAAGAAGCTCATTTGAAAAGGTTACGGTGTCGCGGTTACGGTATTCTTTTGTGGTCAGACACGCAGAACACAGCTGTTGCTCTGCTTCTCACGCATCGGTGATTTTACGGAAAACTCGTACCCAAAATATAAGTGAAACGAACCTGCATTATTGCATCGTCTGATGACGTTCTCTAGGAAGGTGTTCTGTGGGGCGACGAGACCGCGTTTAGCGACGGGCATTCTCTCATCACATAGAACGTGTGCGACTAAATGTGAAGCATGTTGGAACATTCTGGTGGATAATTGTAGGAACGTACACGTACGATCGGGGTCGCAATTCGGAAACAATGCGACCAATAGGGCGTGGACGGTCCGCCCCGATGGGCGGCACCCACGTCTGATAGCTAGCTATAGGCGGATAAGTTTCCTGCTGCATAGTTCACAAACAAAGAACGATCGACAACTACGTATGCAACAAAAAAACAACGACATTTACATAAAAATGGAATGATATGCATTATGGTATTCATAGAAAATCCTGAAAGACAAGGTCCTAGCACGAAAAGGCAGTGTGTGGAATCCATCGGAAACTTCATGAATATTGAAGTCGACACGTGCAAACAGTACATGTGGAGGCGGCTATAGACCGGAAAGTGTCCTTAGTTGTAAGTTCCCCATCCAACAGTCCATTCTTACTGTATGCGGGGAGCTAAGGTGTTGGTGTCATACAATTATCTGCCTTTTGTAGAGGAAAAGTCAAAATCGTAATGTAGGCACTGTTAGATCCTTTGAAAAATCCGCCCCACACCTGATCGTGACGCGTTCCAATGCACGTGATACCTCTCAGATACACCTGGAACTTTGCAAATTTACTTATTGCTATGTATTTCCGATGAGTCAGGGCTGGAGCTATGAATATTGAGCAGTATCTATTCAAACCTAGTGAGTTTATCTATTAATCTACATATCTATTTGTTTACTGAGTTTACGTAACGAAATGTGGAGGCAAGACAATAAATGAATTATGGTATTCCGCCTTAAAAAAAAGGGAAGAACAGATCCGTGAATAAGGCAAAGCCTCAGTTTGTGCGCCAAAGATGCTTCAGAACTGCTTTAAGGTGAAGAATTGGCGCCAAAGGTGCTAAGGCTTGGTCTGCAAGCTGAAGTAGTGGTGCCATACTGACTAACTGCCTTTTGTCTAGAGAAAAACTCGAAACTGAAGTAATCGCTGAAGGCAGTTAGCATAATCAAGCTAACCATTCATCTCAGCAAATTCGCTGAATCGGCAACAAGGGTTTTGAGGGGGGGTTCAAGGAATGCGTTACATAGAAGAATACCCACGATACCGATTGGCAACGACATGCATGGCATCCACTGACGTAATGGTTCTCAGAGCAATACTGCTTAATATTCAATGCTCTAGCCCTGACTCATTGGGAATACCTAGCAATAAGTGAATTCGCAAAGTACCAGGTGTATCTGAGAGGCAAGAAGACCAAAGTAAATGGAGAGAACAAAAGAAAAAATGTGAAGGGATCTTCAATAATTTTTTGCATGGGGAAAAGAACAGGGAAAAAGGTTCTTACAACGAAAGTTTGGGTAGACTAGACTTCCGGATAGGGGCAAGAGGATGTTATACGTAAGCATGTGCAACTGGTAATTTTCATTTCTAGCACATACTGAAGAAGCCTCAGGAAGCATGCAATTCCTGGAGTAGTGACAAATTGCGCTTTCCTGGACATGTGAAACTTAACGTTTTGATTTACTGAGGTAAATATGCAGTGAATTATAGTTATCTGAATGTAGAGTCAGATAATGGCCTAAAGGTGTCACCTAAAGGTTACTGTATATAAGGCTGTTAGAAGGCGTTACTGTCGGAAATTTTCGATCAAGACATTCTGTGAACTTTAGCATAGTGGATACCAGAAAAAGCGAAAACGGGTTGGATTTATGGCCGGGCCCTAAAACTCCCACAACCCAGAAACACTGCAAACCCAAGCCCTTCTCTTCTACTCCCAAGCGTCGACCCAAACTTCGATAGCTCAGTCGTAGAGTTCGCTGTTCACGTTAGTCGTCGTCACTTTCATTCTATCTGTGGTATCTTCTGCGGCTGCCTTGGCTTTGGAAAGGTCCTTGGCATTACTGTGGTAGCCTAATTCCCATAAGTTCCCTTACATTAAGGAAATAAGGCTAAGGTAGTAACGTGGTAGTCCTATCTAGGGTAATAACCATGAGAAGAGATTTCCTATGATGATTAGATTGGAGACGAAATGAGTCGGCATGGCCCAACTGAAGTATGAAAAATAAACCCAAAATCAAAATATTTATCAACGGAAATTCCTGGCTATGGTAAGGTACCGTGCAAAGTAAAGATAATGGAATAATTGCCAGTTCCGGAGGGTAAAAGCGTCATTTGATAGATCGTTTGAAAAATCTTCGCAAGAAAGGGGCATAGACATGTTTGACCGATAGGAAACGGATGTTTGAAAACGGCAAAAATGAGAAAAGGGAAAGCCAGGGCTGAAATGAATGGTTATAGATGGAGAACTGTTGAAGAAGCAGCAAGAATGCAAAAATTTGCAAGATCTATTATCCAATATGCTCAAATGTGATTAATGACACTACTGCACTATTATTGATTGATACTATCGATTACTTTGAGGGTATTACTGCCGAAACTCCTTAATCATGGTTGCTATCTTGGTGAGAGGCTTCTCCGATTCACAGGACAGGCTGGTATACAGGAAAATCACCAGTGGGAGAACCCAAGGGAGCTAAAAAAAAGTGAAATAGTACAACGTTGACTTTTTCAGACGGTGTAAGTAGAGGTTGGGGAAAGGTGTGCGACGATGGGGAATCGAATGGGTTTTTGCCCTAACAAGGACTCCCACATTTTGCATATGCAGGAGTGTAATGGCCATAATAATAGTAATCAAACGAGTCCAGACCTCAAAGTCCGGAATTGTTAGTTCCAGTAGTCAATCCGAAGGTAGGGCAGCTTCCTGTGGTGTTGTGATCATCAACGTGATCATGGGACCCATTCCCATATCGATTCCTGCTCATGTCACCAGAGTCTTGGCTAGGGCAGAGGTTTGCCATTGACATGATCATGAGGTCGCATTCCCACAACCAACCCCATGTTCCCACTCCCTTACCCTTGAAGGATAAATCCAAGTTGACTCAGACACTCACTAACGATCAGAGTTCTCAAGGGCCACAATAAACTTTTCCAAAATTCTGCAGTAGAGTAACTGGTAGGCCTCAAGAACCAGATGCAATCGATCGTTTTTGCTTCACGTTCCATGAATCAACTACATTACCCACTATCGTTATAGTAGTCTGAATTAGGAAGCCTCATTAGGCGGTATAAAACGTCAGAACATTTCCAGAAAGATCCCTTTGATATTGAACAATAATGTGGTTTTCCCTTTACGGCTTCTCACGGCATTGGAATTTCATCAAAGAATTCCACTAAGTAAAATAATTACTGAGATATGTTCCTATGGTAACTGTGTCAAGTAATCATGGACAGAATAGGTTTTTGTCTGGGAAATTTCCTCTTGGGGCGGAACCGGGAAGGATATTCAACTAGTACAATACCTGTTGAAGGCCGATGAACCATCGAAATACAAAAAGTTCGTGGGACAAAGGATAACCGAAGTATAGCTGAACGGCTATACTTCGGGTATCCTTTTTCGGGGATACACGACCCGTCATCGAAACTGTCGGAAGGAGTAAGCTTCCCCATTACAGCTTCTTGAGTAAAGCCCCAAGGAAAAGGACTCCTCCACCCTCCAAAAAAGAGTCCGATAAGGTTCGAAAGGGACTTAACCGCTTCTTTGCTCTTGTGGGACACCCCGGAGAGTGGAAGGATGCCTGTATTAGTCTACACAACATAATTTGATAGGCTGGTCATCTACACTTCTTCCCATGGTACCAATTTACGGCCCTCCGATGAGGGGTTATCATCGCTCTTTGGATCTTAATTTGGAGACTAGGAGGAACATCAGAGGGTATGTTATATGACTATGCCCAATTTCTACGTTCAGGGATTCAGTTGAAGGTCCAAATTCAGGTATCAGCTTCCCGGAGCTTCTATTCGGTTGGCTTTTTTCATTTTTAACGAAATCTCAAAAAGAAGTCGCAGGGAGCAGATTACGCCACAAGGAGTAAGGAAGCTGGTAGAGTTGATATTGGTCATAGAAGGAGCAACGGAAGACTCTGCAATCGCACTGGCGAACCTCACGTCTAATCCAGGATCGATACCTGCCCAGTATAATTTTCCAAAGAGAGTAGGATCATTGCCTTCTAAAGCGTTTTCTGAAAGACGGGAAATGGATGCGGCCCTCGAGAATGCGATGCGATGGCTTCCAGTGGCCATTCTAGAGTGCTTATAAATCGCCGTCTTTTCCGAATCGTTTAGAAGATTGAGCTTCCTCCGGACATGAAGTGTGAACCGGAAGTTCTGTGAAGAGAACGAAAGAGAGATCTTCAAAATCGCGAAGAACTTGCCTCTCTCAGTCTTCAAAGAAGTGAGTCTTGGGAATGAAAAGGTGTTATTACCCTTGAGCCTGCTCATTCAAAGATGTCATGACTCTTTAGGACATACTACTATCGGAAAGAGGAAAGGGAAAAAGCAGCTCCTTGTGAAATTGTAATCATTCATGTGATATAATAATTGAGGCATTTTTTGAATCGAGTCTGGCTCCTAGCTTGGGGATCCTCAACATTGTTCCACGAATAAGTCAATAAAACACCCGCGTTGGAGTTCAATGAAAGAGATCTGCGTAGTTTAGTTCCCACAACCTTCGAATAGGTGGAGTAGGCATTGAGGTGCCATCACGATTATAAAGGTGAGGGGGCATGCAAGGCACATACACTGAATGGAACAATAACCCCTGGTCTCAAGCCTGAAATTTAAAATTTTAATGAAAAGTTATGTCCAAAAATGAGAGTTAGAAAATTTTCTGGGTTTTCTAACTCAAAAAGAACTATTACTTAAATGGACAAAAAAACGTAAATATACCTAGGTAGCTTCTCGATCAACTATCTAGGAAGGTAAAGAAAATAGGGAAAATATGGAAAACAGATGACAGTAAATTAAAAAGAAACTTTCAAGGAAACTGAATAGTATCATCAGAAATATAAGATTTTGGATAAAGGAGCACATAGAGGATATGAATCGATTTAAAACTTTACGGCCTTGAGGCATCACCAAATTTGGAACCTTAACGGAGACCATGAAGTAGATCGTGGCCTAGGAGTCACGTATGGGCGCGCGTAAAACCCTCGTGGCACGAAGACCTAACCCACCTCACACTGGTCGTTTACTACGTCCATTGCTCGATTGTCTCGGAGGATTCAGAAATTTACGGTGAGTAGCCCTTCTTTGAATCATTTGCGTGCCCTGGGAGTCTCGAACTTCAGCTGGGCAGTGGAGATGTTTGATCGGATAGTCACGGATTGTTTTGATCCTTTCAGGCTGTGGCTTGGTTCCGCCGAAACGTCAGTCCGATAAAACTTACATACAAACCTCGTGAACGGCTCAAGAAAACAACTGAATAATGAAACTGTGGATCGGGAACGAAAATCAGAAGATGATGCAAAAAGTAAGTAGACAGAAGGTGAAAGTTGATAAACTTCTGCTATTTAGTTACTGTTCAACGAAGAAGTTGAACGGAAGGATTTTTTCGAGCTTTCTGCCTTTTCTCAGAAATCAGACCTCTAAGTGCATCTCATTTGAGGTATTCTACGATCCATGAATCCTCAAGCATCTCCGAAGACCGATGGAAGCCTAGCTACAATCGAGATATTTTGCCGGACAAAAAGGCTTACTAGTAACCTGAAAGCTTCAATGGCTTCATGCGGATTGATGACGAAAGTTACGAAGCTATGTAAGTAATTTCATATTCCTAAGATTAACTTGATTTTGTTTTGCTTTGAACTCTCACGAGGCTGCTATTAAAAGTTCAGAGAGTCCAACGATTATGATCTGGTCTTCCAAACATATTCGGGCTGCATTTGACTTATTACAAATAGGGAATAGGAAAGTGGGTAATTAAAAGTGAAGGGAAATTAAATAAATCCAGGAATATATCAAAAGAAAGTTTGGATCGCTTATAAGTCGAGAAAGTCACGCAACTTGGTGAAATCCTTTTTTTAATAGCACCAGTTACCCATGATAATTGGTATTTGAGAAAGTACTCCCATGTGGAAGTACTAGATTGGAGCAGTCTTCGGTATTCTGTAGAAATCATTCGGAGTAAACGCCACTCCTTTCATCCCATTTGACAATCCAAATGGAAGGACTAGTCGGTTGACTTGGGGGATTCCCATAGGGTAGTTGATCATTAACCCTCCCCCCCNCCCCCCCCCCCCCCCCCTCCCCCTTACTTACTATACCTAATCGAAACAGCAATTCAAGCCAGTATGTAGGCCCTACTATTGGCCAAATATTTTGTCCCTGTTTGTCAATAAAAGCGTTCCATCCCTAATCCATATATTCTAATACAGTGGACCTCACATTGAAGCCAAAAATCGAAACGGTAGGTCACATTCACGAGTATCTCATGAAAAACGAGTATCCTTCCCTTTGACGGTAGCGTATTACTACCGGTCTTCGAAAGGGCAGGCCATCAGGGTGTTGATGGATTTGATGGTGAAAACCATTCACCCTGTAACTCCTAACAGCTCGTTTTATGAGTGAAATAGAGGTTTTTTCGAAGATAATCTTCAACAGAATTGAAAGCTATGTACATATTTACATAAATATTTACTTGTTTTTTAATGTTAGCGTAGACGCCTTCTAATAGATAGAGTAAAAAAAAAACATCCCAGACGAAAAAAAACTGACTCAACCTAAACAAGAGTGGTAAGGTGCTCCTTATACTTACCAAAGAGTAAGTTACCCCTCTTCCCGGGTGCTTATGAAAACACCAAGATACGAGATTTAGACCTTTCGAATGTCCATTACAAGTAACACTTTACCCTGGTGCTTTGACAGGGTAATAACAAGTGCTTAGTAAGGTGATAGCTTCGTGGTCCTCCCAATTCGTTCTAATAACATTCCCATGATAACGTCAATGTGAGAGGCATCGCTTGAAAAATGGACGTGCTCATGATGAATGGTCCCCGGACACCAGAAAAGTGGAAGAAATTGCCATGAAAATAATGAAACCAGGTCCCCCTTATTGAGGATCGATTTTCATGGGTGAACCGAATAAAATCTGAAAATACCGAAGGGTAACGGGATATAACTTTTGGAGGAAGCTATGCTTAACTTTNAAACGGAGTGATAAACGGTGAGCCGTTGAGCTGGGAAAAAAGCTGCGCTCCAGCACCACCCAGTCAGATAATTCCAACTGTTTTAGAGTGATCATCTGTGAAATTCAATCAAACACAAAGGTATAGAGCTATCGGAGGAAGTCGTTTCTTGTATTTGTATTCTGGCCATAACCCTGCAACGTTGTAAAGACAGAAAACGGATTGTACTGGAAATATTCCCCAAAGCTGACAGCATAAGGAAAAAACTGAAGTCTGGGAGATCGTGCAAAGAAATGACGAGCAGGGCGGCTCAATGATGTGCTCTCATTGCGAGCATTCAGCCTTTTTTCGCCTTTCGAAGGCTCCTCAAAAAACATTCGTCCGAGGACGTCATTATGGCCATTGAAAAAAGGTCAGCCCTGTGTTCGATATGGGTGAATGTCTTCTTTCCTTGGAAAAAGGTGTTGAGTTAAAAGCAAAACACCTGATCTTCGCTAAAATCCCAACCTGAATCTGAGCTTTTCGGGCAAAGTACTGTGCAATCCCTCATTCTACGGTGCGTCACGCTTTCGACTCTCAATCATAATTCCCATTTCCGTCCCCACTGCGACGTTCTGAATGCGTACGCGGCCTATGCAATGATTGCGGAGTCTAGCCGATGTATAAATCAGCGCTTTTGTCCTCCCAGACAAGTCTCTTACCAATTGATCGGCCCAGGAAAAGTAGAATGCCTGGTTAGTCTCTATGGGCATCGACACTAAATCCTGGATTCAATCGCCGGACTGTGGACTGTAAAATAAATAAGGTGCTGCTCCAGGTATCGCTACACCTCTCCCCCCAT